CCCCCCCCCTCCCCAGATTGGATGTCAGTCCATTGGAAGCCCCCCCCCTCCCCCGCATTTCGTCAGGTTTCCTTGAGAGCAGTACCCATTTATAATCCTGAGTGGAGAGGGATGCTGTGAAAGTAAAGTGTATCACCCAAGAACACAACACAGAAACATGTCCAGGTCTTTAACTCAGAGCTCTAGACCTTTACCCCTCACTCCCTGACATTAGAATACATATTCTCCCTACTACTCTCTAAACATTTCCTTAGGTGCTGACAAGGAGAATTTGATTAACAATCAAGAGGGTTTTTAGTTTGTGATCATTTCCTACTTTCTCATGACCTTAATGTTTGATTCAGGGGTGATATTGAAAGGAGAATTTAGATGCTAGTCACTCTTAAGAGAACAACAGGTTAAGCCATCATCTCACACTTAACCTTTTTATTTGTTCTTAAAATTTCCTATTTGATGAATTCACAGCTTGTCCAGACTTACCTTGGGAGCAGACTCTTTGGGTGCAGTCCTTGGAGGGGGTCATGAGTATGGGGTGTGGGTACAGATGGGGATGCTGCTCTTTTTCTGTGGGAGTGTAGCACTGAAAGCATCACAAAAAGCTACTTAATACACTACCAGTCACATGCAGAAGGCTAAATCAGCTAAAAATTAAAAACAAACAAACAAGAACAATCTTGAAGACAAAAATATCTGATAAGTTTCAGAGAATTGACAAGAAATATTAAATGCAGTTTCCCTGATAAACAAAAGTGCAATGACATGAAAAAGTAATACTGGTAAATTTGATTTTGCTTTTTTAATCTTTTGTGCACAGCAGTTCACAAAGAATCTTATATTCACAAATATCACTTGTCAGAAAATACCACACAGGTGAAGAGTGCATTTCATGTGCACAGATTCATTCGTTCAGAAGCGATCAGCAAGTACTATTCACTGCCAAGCAGGCAAAGAGACAAAATCAATTTCCAACCACTTTTTTGTTGTATTGACAGAAATGAACCATTTTTTTTGGTTTCTGTATGGTATATATCAAACCAATTTTTCACCAAAGTGTTGGTGAATATTAGTGGATATTAACTGAGCCACAAAGAGGCAAGGTAAATATATATCCACCATTGTTCACCTCCACTGAGGTGAAATATAATTATTGTTAATTATTTGTTTTAATTATGTTAGAAAGAGAAGAAAAATGTTATAAGAAAGATTTGTTCGGTTCACCAGAATTTGATGAAGATCAAATACAAAACTTAACTGCAACAGCAAAAT